TTAGAACATTCTTGTCACTGTCACCTTTCTTTTTAGTTGAAGTGAAATTCGCATAACATACAATTAACCATTTTAAAGTGCACAGTTCAGTGATATTTAGTGTATTCACAATGTTGGGCAACCACCAGGTCTCCCTGCTTTCAAAACTACTTCATCACCCCGTAAAAGCGAGGTGTTTGCCTTGTACCGATTAAGTAATCACTCTCATTTTACCCTCCCACACAAATGTTCAACAGATGAGTGGGGCTGGACATGGTTGCTCATGCCTACTCATTTCAGGGTGCACTTTGGGAGGCTAAGGTGCGAAGACTGAGGCCAGGAGTTCAAGACCAGCCTGGAGAACGTAGCAAGATGTTCTTTCTACAAAAAGTAAAATAATTAGCCAGGTGTGATGCACACCTGTAGTCCTAGCTACTTTGGGAGGCTGAGACGGGGGATCACTTGCGCCCAGGAGTCTCCAGCCTGGTCGACATACTGAGACCGTGTCTTTATATTTAAAAAACAAAAAATCAGATGAGTGGGCAGCAAGTTGTGGTATATACATATGTAATCAACTGGTAAAAGGAACCATGTACATATACATACTGCAACTTAGATGGGCCTAGAAAACCACACTGAAAGAAGCTAGTCATGAAAGGACACGTATTGTATGATTCTGCTTATGTGAAATGCCTAGAATAGGCAAATCACCATGAATTTTCACAGAGCTTTCAAACTCCAGCTCTGAGGGCTCTAGGTCTGGGCATCCTCCCCTCCCTCCTCTTGCTCTTGGCAGGCAGCTCTTCTAATGGTGACTGCAGCCATAGAGTCACATCTGGCTCTCAGTCACCCTTTTTCAGCTCTTGCGTTGTCTGTGGGAAAGCCGCTTGAGCCTTTCCCTGCCCACTTCCCTCATTTGTGAAAGAGAGAGAGACCTGGTTCCATCTGGTTGCCCACGTAAAGCACATTTCTTGGCACACTCTCATTTTGACTGTTTGCCATTCCTCTTTTCCTGGCTCTTACTCCTTTCCCTGCTGCAGACCTCTCAGGTTGCCTGAGCCTGCCATTGTGTCAAGTCATAGTTCTGTGCTTTGTAGACATTTTTATGCCTGTGGTGCTTATACCCTTGACTGATGTAAGTCAGTCACATTAGAAGAAGATTATTTGGTCCTGGGGTTTGGAGACAGGACTGGGAGGGAGAGGTTGACCTGACTTTTCCCTTCATTCTCACCTGCCCTCTTCTAGGAACTTGGGCTCTCTTGGCCTCTCCCTGCTTGGGTCTGTGGCATTTTGTTTGGGTTTGTACGGCCTGGACCACCTCCTTTCCCAATAAAAGGGGTAAGGACTGTCTACGTGGCATTTTTACCTGGCCTCAGGTGTACGGGGTGAGCTCTGAACCCCTTACGAGTGAAGAGGAGGAAGTTAGGGACAAAATTCATTTTTGGAAGATTATTAGAAGAAAAATAGACACAGAATTCTCATCAGCAAAGGGAAATGCCAAAGGAAGAAGGCAGTGGTTAGCACTGCTCTCGGGCCTGTTCTGCTCTGGAGAAACCGCAGGAGAAACCGGGCCTTGCCTTGATCACTGTGCTTGGAAATGTCCTCACCTGGGTCCAGTTTCAGTGTTTAGAAGCTCTGCTTTCCACGTAACTGCAGGACATGATTCAACCAAGCTTTCTACCACTGTGTTACAGGATCCACTTTGCTCCAGTTTCCAATCCCATGCTCCTGACATCATTCCGCACCCTCCCCAGCAGTGCCAACAGTCTTTGTGCCCAGTTAGGTGTTCTCCAAGGCGATGGTTTTTTCCTGCTATGCTCCTCTCTTCCTTCTGAGACCTCACGAGCCGAGTCTTTTAACATCCATAGTTTTACTACTGTGTTCAAGGAAGTCTAGGCTTTTTCTGTGCTGCTCCTCAAAATTCTTCCTTCCTTCACCCACAATTCTATTCCAAAGCTACTTCCACATTTTTTTAGATATTTGTTACAGCAACACCCCACTTCTAGGGTGCTGGAAACTAGTTTATTAGAAAACTGTTAATTTTTATAGCTGCCATTAACAATTTACCACACAATGAGTGTCCTGAACAACACAAATTTATTATATAATAGTTCCGTAGGTCAGAAGTCCTGGGCAGGTCTCGCTGTGTTAAGATCAGGGTGTCAGTAGGGCTTTGTTTCTGGAGGCTCTGGGGAGACTCTGTTTCCTGCCCACTCAGGTTGGTGGCAGAACCCAGCGCTCTGCAGAGGTGCTGTCCACGCGAGGGACACTTTGTGAAAGCTGCTCCCTCTTCTTCCCCTTGGTCTTTCGTTTGTCTTATTTCCACCTACCCCAGTAGGAATAGAGGGATTTATTTTCTTTTCTGCTTTATTCGTTTGTTAAAATCATGCATGTTCAGGAAGTTACCCTGCCCAACACCCCGTTTCACACTGGGGGAAACTGTGGGTTTTGGAGTGGAGAAACTGGCCTGCAGTTAGTTCCCTGGCCGGTCGTTGGGAAAGAGGACTTGGCCTATATGTTTCTACACCATATCCGGAACAGAGTTTAACACGTCTAAGTGGCAGAAGACTACACTTCTGTCAAAAATCAAACCCTGCCCCCTTAAATCAAGTCTGTTTTGTTAAGTGCAAGTCTTTTTCCTTTGTCAACACTTTAATTTTTTTGATGGAAGAAAAAAATTCTACCTTAGGAACTCATGATTTTATTTGTTTTAAGTTAATATTAATGTCAAGCATTTAGTATATTTGAGTTCAATTCATGTAAGCTAGTAATGATCCTATGAGGTTTATTAGTAGGAAGAGGCCAAATGTTTTCACTTGTTTGCCAGGTGAGAAATACTGTATTTGAAGATTGGTTCAGAGATATTTAAGGCACTACTGGTCATTTGTCCAAAAACTTCACCCAGGATTCCCAGGGAAGCTTTCACAGCTTCCCAAGGGTTTAGGAGTGGTGACTTTGAATTATAATTTTATAGATCCTGTGTAGATAACTGTCAGTATCTGTCAGACTTCTATTAGGTTGAAGAGCTGGGATTTCCTGTTGATTTCTTAAAAGTAGGTTGGGAAAAGTGATTGGGGAATTGGATCCTCAGGAAGTTGTTCTGTTTCCATTTCTTTCAAGAATTTAGTTGTCTCTTTTATCTGTGAGAATCTTAGGGCTGCACAATACTGAGTGTTGCTGCTTTGAATCCATGCACGGGAAATCGTAGATTTTGAGAATTACCCACCTTTTCTGTGGATGAGTGTGTATCATTTACATCATTAGAACTCTTTTTCCCCATGACATTTTGTGTTCATCAGTTCTTTGAGTTTGCCTTCTTTAAAACCCTGCTAGAGGATTCAAGATCTGGAAAGTAACTGATCCAATGTATCCCACACAGGGGAAGCTGGAAGATTAAAAAGAAGAACAACAACAAAAGTGTGTTTGCCAATCCTAGCAAACAGTGCTGAAGTTTAATCACAGGCCAGAGGTCGGCCACCTTGTAGTGGAGAAACTGGATGAGTGTCCCTGCTCCTGCTGGGAGGGCTTTCGGACCGGCCAACCTTGTCACTGTCTGAGACTCAGCTGATTGCTTTATCTTTTATTTCTGGCAGCTCCTTTAGCGGCAGAGTTTTCCGAGTGACCTTCTTGATGCTGGCTGTTTCTCTCACTGTTCCCCTGCTTGGAGCCATGATGCTGCTGGAATCTCCTATAGATCCACAGCCTCTCAGGTAGGCTGCCCCGCGGTCCTCAGGAGGGGTTGCTTGACAAAACGTAATAGGCTGAAATAATTCCCAAGGAAAGGAGGGTGATTAAATCAGTCTGATCTGAAAGGTAAGTTAGGAGAAACGCAGTTTTGTGATTTCTTTAGTACTTGGGTTTTTATGCTGAATTAGATGTTACTCAGTAAATATGCATGGTATTTTCCCTGTCATTGTTTTAAAAAAACTGCATAAACCAAAAACAAAAATTCAAAATTAGAGAAGCTTAATAATCATTAGAGACAGTCAACGATAATTCATTTCAAGTAGCAAAAATACACATGAATGGAGCTTCAGTTACCTCATTTAAATTTTATAAGTAACTGATTTTCTACAAAACCTATAATTAGTGTTCATTTTTTCCTGAGTTACCTTTCACCAATAGAGATCTATGAGTAACGCAGTCCATTATAATTTGAAAAAAGTATTGTATATGTAGGGCCCCCTGAAATAGATTCGTGTTTATAACTATAGTGTACAGAGCCAGGCTCTCATCAGTGTGACGATCTGTGACTTCCATGTTGACCTAGTTGCAGGAGGGTTGTGCTGTCTGATTCAGTAATTTCCTGGTTCCCCTTGCAACTGCTGATGGGGTGAAGCCATCTGAAGCTTATTGTAAATGAGTTAGTCCATGTAAGGCTTGAAAAACTTCAGATAAGAATCATATCTAGTTAAAGAGTGAATATAACATACTAACTGAATAGTGTTTCATCCATAAAAATTAAGGCTTTATATTGGATCCAATTCACTAAGAATGTAGAGGACACGGTTCTGACCTTAGATTGACATGTGTAGCTGAGTGAACTTTTTGTTGTTGGATTTAGAATAGTGAAGGCACAAGGTGCTGTAAACACACAATTTGCTCGTTAGGATTGAGAATGGGTGAAGGACTGGGGACTCTAGTCAGCCCCAGGAATGTCAGCTCTGTAATTCCTAGTGTGCTAGTGGATCCTCAGATGCATTTTTCTGCCTGAGCCATGCCTGAGGACATCCTGTCTCCAAAGGAGGGGCGTTGGGCGGGTGGGGGGGTGGTCCCCTGATGTGTTGAGGGAGGGGCTTTTCTCTTTCTAACCCTTCTCAACAGAGCAGGATGGCTCATTCTACCCAAAGATAAACTGACCTGGGCCTTCTTAGATAGTCCAGTTGGCTAAGGTGGGGGAGTGAACTGTATCTGCAGTTGGGGATTAGAAGCTTGGGTTGGGGGGCTGGCCTTGGAAAAGGAGGCTGAGGTTGAGTTTTGAGTTGGAGAGAGAGGTTGGAGCCTCAGTGATTGCAGACCTTTGATCTCAGGAAAGATGAATGTATATGTGGAAAGAGTGGTGAAGAAATGCACTGGGAAATGGGTTATGTAGCCCTGGCCAGACACTGAAAGGAAGCAGGGCCCACTGGGGATTGCAGGTTGTTTGTACAAAGTGAGTTATGATTGTTGAGTAGAAGAGCCTGATGAGGAAGGAAAGGAAGAGAAGCAGTGGAACCATCGTAGCCAAGAGGGGCCTCTCTCCTGGGCTCAGCTTTCGGAATGGCAGTGGAACCATCACAGCCAACAGGGACCTCTCTCCTGGGCTCAGCTTATGGCAGTGGAACCGTCACAGCCAACAGGGACCTCTCTGCTGGGCTCAGCTTTCGGAATGGCAGTGGAACTGTCACAGCCAACAGGGACCTCTCTCCTGGGCTCAGCTTTCGGAATGGCAGTGGAACCGTCACAGCCAACAGGGACCTCTCTCCTGGGCTCAGCTTTTGGCAGTGGAACCGTCCCAGCCAACAGTGACCTTTCTCCTGGGCTCAGCTTTCAGAATGGCAGTGGAACTGTCACAGCCAACAGGGACCTCTCTCCTGGGCTCAGCTTTCAGAATGGCAGTAGAACTGTCACAGCCAACAGGGACCTCTCTCTTGGGCTCAGCTTTCGGAATGGCACACTCAAAAACAGGAAGATAGGCCCCAAAATACAGAGCAGAAGCAGAAGCCTGTTACGTGACAGAGCTTGGTGTGTCTCACACAGGTACACGGGCCATGACACAGCCTGTGCCCCATGCATGCCATCCCACTGGGTACCGACTCAGCTGCAGCCCTCTCAGCCCACAGTCACTCTGTGGAAGGACATGGTTTCTCTTCAGAAGGGAACAAAAAGTTTATTTTTCATAGAAGGATATGGATGTTTCCAGTCACTGAAAAAATATCAGTTAAAGTCAAATTTATGGTAAAAAAAATAATAATAATAGAGCAGCATTTTGGAGAATGGATTTGGTCTTCTCTATGAAGCATGAGGCCGGGCCATCAGGTGTGAAACGTGGGCACTGCCCCCCGCCACCCTAGGTGGACTGCGGTGGCTATAGGGCTGTGTGAGTCACAGGGGTGAGGAGGTCCAGCTGCCCTGAGGCGTTGGATGGGAGTGGGGAGCTAGGGAGGCTGGAGGGTGGGTGGGCACAGGCCCCAGGATGTTCTCAGGTGATATCTTAACCCTTCTATTTCTGGCAACTGAGGATGTTGTTAGAAAGTGCCATCTTTATGAAAGAACCGAGAGTAGGTGCTTGGTACAGGTTTTCTTCACATGTGTATTTATGGACAAATCTCTGGAACTGCATTATTTTGCAGCTTCAAAGAACCCCCGCTCTTGCTTGGCGTTCTGCATCCAAATACAAAGTTGCGACAGGCAGAAAGGCTGTTTGAAAATCAGCTTATTGGACCGGAGTCCATAGCACATATTGGGGGTAAGTCTGAGCTGGGGGTCCTTCCAGGCTGTCTGTTGTCTGAGGGGGCGGGTTCTGTGGGAGCAGCTGCAGTGGCACACTGCCCCTGGACTGGGGCCCTGCACATCCTTCTTAGCTGCGGACATGGGGCTTGGACCCCAGACATTACATGGGAGGCCCTAGTGCCTGGTGGCTCTTTCTGCTGGTCTCATCTGCGCAGGATTGCATGCCGTTTTAGCACTTGGTGGTTTTCAGTTCATCTCTGTGGAGCACTTTGTTGTGCTCAGAGTGTTGTGAAAGGAAAAAGGCCAAATACAGATACTGATGTTTAGTTTATTTATCAAAGTTAAATAGGTATTTGACAGCACAGCATTTCTTAGTTCCCTTTGCTTTGTATAGATTTCACTGTGAAGTGAAGACAAATGGTTCTCAATATTTCCACTGTTTTTTTGTCTGTCTGTTTGAAAGCTCACTTTGGTGGGTACACTTAAGGATAACCATCTACATCACACTTGCCCACACCTCAGAGCTAGAATTGGATCTGGTTCGAATACTTGCATCTCTAGCAACCTTGAGCAAGGCATTTTCTGTTTGTGAAAATGAGAATTAAGTTTCGTATTGGAAAGGCACAGATAGTCACAGATAATTTAAAACTTAATCTGGTACGGGCTTGCTGAGCAGCTTCTTTGGAAGTGCCGCTTGTTATTCCGAAACACACTCTGTTCTCCAGGCAGTAGGTGGCTGTGGATGTGCACACAGGGTGCTTCTGTTGTGCTCTCAAGGCCAGTCAGTGGCCTCTCTTCCAGTGACGTTTGACCAGCTTCTTTTGCCCAGGCCCTGCTATTTGACACAGGCCCCAAGGACTGGTCCATTTCTGCAGTTGGTTTGTTTTCTTGGCTGTCAAAGTCATAATTGTTTCAAGAAAAGTAAATATCATGATAGAACTTTGCATTTCTCTTAAAAAGACATTGGCATTTATTTGTGTAAATTTTATAAGCTTTAGCTTTTTTTGGTGAAAAATCAAATATTGCTATTTAAAACTGAAACTTAACAGCAGTTGAAGTGCAAACCAATGATCTTACCTCCCAAAGAGAGCACTTTCCTGCCTTTTTCCTTTTCACTGGGATTACTTCTCATTGTACTTTGTCACCAGGTCCCAGCTTTTTGTCTTTCTTTGGTGAGCTGGTGATATTTCTTGGCCAGGCACAGTGGGGTCCTTTCTGGTGGGTGTGAGCCCCTGGGAGGTGCCCAGGGACCTGCCACTGCTATCTCTGCCACCTCATTTGGAAGCTGCCTTGGGGGCTGGCTGGCAGGTTGCTGACAGTGGAGGCAGGTGCTAATCTGGGGAGTGCTGGGAGAGAGCAATCACCAGTTATAGCAGGCTTTATTTTTAAGAGCAGTTTTAGGTTCACAGCAAAATTGAGCAGAAGGTACAGAGATTTTCTGAAAAAGAGTTTTTATTATGATTGAGTGTTGCATTTCATCAAATGCTTTTTCTGCACACATGCCATGCACAGCCTCCCACATGATCAACATCCCCCACCACAGTGGCACGTTTGTTACAACTGATGTACCCACATCAATACGTCATTATTACTTAGAGTCTGTAGTTTACAGTAGGGTTCACTCTTGGTTTTATACATTCTATGGGTTTGGACAAATGCCATGTATCCACCATTATGGTATCATACAGGGTGTTTTCACTGCCCTGAAAATCCACTCTGCTCTGCCTGTTCATCCCATCCTCCAATTTTAACCCATGACAACCACTGATCTTTTTGCCATCTCCATAGTTTTGCCTTTTCCGGAATGTTATGTAGTTGGACTCATACAGTATGTAGCCTTTCCAGATTGGCATCTTTCACTTAGTAGTATGCATTTATTTAAAGTTCCTCCATGTCTTTCCATGGCTTGATAGCTCATTTCTTTTTAGCACTGAATAATATTCCATTGTATGAATGTGCCACAGTTTAGTTACCTACTGAAATACATCTTGGTTGCTGCTAAGTTTTGCCAGTTATGAATAAGGCTGGAACAAACATCTGTGGGCAGGTTTCTGTGTGGACCTGAGTTTTCAGCTCTTTTGGGTAAATACTGAAAAGCATAATTGCTGGATTGTGTGGTAAGAGTTAAGTTTTGTAAGAAACCACCAAGCGTTTCCAAAGTGGCTGTACCATTTGCCTTCCCATTAACAATTAGAGTTCCTGATGCTCCATGTCCTTGCCAGCATTTGGTGGTGTCAGTGTTTTGGATTGTGGCCCTTTTAATAGGCGTGTAGTGGTATCTCGTTGTTTTAGTTTGCATTTCTCTGATGACATTTGATGTGGAATATCTTCATGTGCTTAACTGCCATCTGTATATCTTCTTTGGTGATGTGTCTGTTCAGGCCTTTTGCCCATTTTTGTAATTGGGTTGTTCATTTTCTTATTGTTGAGTTTTAAGAGTTGTTTGTGTATTTTGGATAATAGTTCTTTATCAGACATGTCATTTGCAAATATTTTCTCCCAGTCTGTGGCTTCTCATTCTTTTGACAGTATCTTCTGCAGAGCAAGAATTTTTAATTTTAATGAAGTTTCGCTTTTTATTTCTTCATGTATCTCACCTTGGTGTTATATCTAAAAATTCATCATCATACCCCAGGTGACCTAGATTTTCTCCTATGTTATCTTCTAGGAATTTGTTTTGTATTTTACATTTAGGTCTATGATCCAATTTGAATTCCATTTTTGTGAAGGGTATAAGATCTGTGTCTAGATTTGTTTGCCTGTGGATGCAAACAAATTTGTTCCAGCACCATTTGTGGAAAATGCTGTCTTTTTTCCATTATGTATTGCGTTTACTCCTTTGTCAAAAGATCAGTTGATTATATTTATGTGGGTCTGTCTCTGGGATAAAAGTTTTATATGTTCCATTGATTTATTTTTCTATTCTTTGCTAATACCACATTGTCTTGATTACTGTAGCTTTATAGTGAATATTGAAGTTGAGTAGTTTCAGTCCTCTGACTTTATTCTTTTCCTTCAATATTGTGTTGGATATTTTGGGTCTCTGCCCTCTCCATATTAACTTTAGGATTAATTCATCTGTATCTGCAAAATAACTTGCTGGGATTTTGATTGGGATTACATTGAATCTATAGATTAAGGTTGGGAAAAACTGACATTTTGACAGTATTAAGTTTTCCTATCCATGAACATGGAATATCTCTCCATTTATTTAGTTCTTTGATTTCTTTCATCAGAATTTTGTAGTTTTCCTCATATAGACCTTGTGCATATTATGTTATATTTATACCTAAGCATGCCATTCTTTTGGATGCTAATGTACATAGTGTTGTGTTTTCAATTCCAAATTCCATTTGTTCATTGTTAGTATAAAGGAAGGTGAGTCAATATCTTGCAATATCCTGCAACCTTGCTATAATTGCTTAGTTCCAGAAGGGTTTTTTGTTGTTGTTGATTCTTTCAGATTTTCTACCTAGACAATTATGTCACTTGCAAACAAAGAGAGTTTTATTTCTTTCTTCTCAATCTGTGTACCTTTTGTTTCCTTTTCATGTCTTATTGCATTAGCTAGGTCTTCCAGTGTGATAGTGAAAAGGAGTAGTGACAGGGGCATCTTTGCCTTGTTCTTGATCTTAGCAGGAAAGCTTCTAGTTTGTCATCCATAAGTATGATGTTTTATGTAGATTTTTTTATAGATGTTCTTGATCAAGTTAAGAAAGTTTTCCTCTACTCCCAGCTTGCTGAGAGCTTTTAATCGTGAATGGGTGTTGGATGTTACTAGATGCTTTTTTCTGTATCTGTTGATATGATCATGTGATTATTCTTGTTTAGATTGTTGAAGTCTCTGTGATAGTGGATTCTGTTTCTCCTTGCAGTTTCATTGGTTTTTGCCTCACATATTGGTGCTCTGTTGTGAAGCATATACACATTAAAGGTTCTTATGTCTTTTTGAGGAATTGACCCCTTTGTCATTGTGTGATGCTCCTCTTTATCCCTGATAACTTTCCTTGGTGTGAAGTCTTCTCTGTCTGAATTTAATACAGCTACTCTGGCTTGCTTTTGGTTAGTGTTAACATGATGTACTTTCTTCATCCCTTCACTTTTAATCTATATATGTCTTTATATTTAAAGTGGGTTTCTTGTATACAACATAGAGTTGGATCTTGTTTTTTGAATAATTCTGGCAATGTCTCTCTTTCATTTGGTATATTTAGACCATTTATGTTTAAAGTGATTATTGATATATTGGATTAATAGCTACCATATTTGTTACTGTTTTCTATTCTTTGCCCTTATTCTTGTTTCTGTTTTTGCATTCTACTCTCTTTTTGTCTTTTGTAGTTTTAAACTGAGTATTTTATATGATTCCATTTTCTCTCCTTTGTTAGCGTATCAGTTATACTTCTTTTTTACTTTTTATAGTGGTTACCCTTGAGTTTACTATATACATTTGAAAACTATGGAATGTTTTATGAATTTGTGTATCATCATTGCTCAGGGAGCATGCTGATCTTCTCTGTATCATTCTAATTTTAGTATATGTGCTGCTGAAGTAAGCGCTTCATGTGCTATAATTTTCTCCTAAAGGATTTCTGGCAGTTCTTCCCCTTTAGTTGGATATAATCAATATCAGTAGCAGACACTGATGTGAGGTGAATATAAACTCATGCCCCTAAGTACTGAGTGTCAGCTTGAGTGCTTCAGGACTGGAGAAAATCCTCACAGTTCTCATCACTGATGAGTGTCTGCTGCACCCTTGCTCTCAAGTCCGGTTCACACCCACAGGCTGCTTCCCTAGGCCCCCGCAGTTTTATCGCTGTAAGTTTTAAGGATTTTTTGTATTCCCAGAAATTGCTTCTCTTTCATCTTCAAAATTGGCATTTCCTCTAGAGGGGCAGGGGGAACACATAAACAAGCCCTCTTATAGGAGAAGGTGGCTTAGTCACAGTTCTTAGGCTAACATTGTTCTTCCTCCTTTTTGTGTGTTTAAACAGATGTGATGTTTACTGGGACAGCAGATGGCCGGGTTGTAAAACTTGAAAATGGTGAAATAGAGACCATTGCCCGGTTTGGTTCGGGTCCGTGCAGTAAGTTGGTGATAATCCCCTGACATGTCTCTTCCAGTCTTTCAGAAAGATGTCGGATCACTGTGTGGAACTGCTTTTCCCTAGAATGCCTGTAGGAGAAAAAGAACCTCTGACCATATAGTAGATGGAACATGACGTCACCATGAGCTCTTCATTTCCCTGGTGGTCCTTGGGCCTCATGGTGCCTGATGGTCACCTGCAGTCCCCATTTTGCAGCTGGGCAGTGGCCGTGGCCCCTGCTTGGTACTGCGTGGGCCTCGCCCCTCACCGTTTTACTGGGGTCCCTGTTTACCTTTGCAGTACTTCAGAGGCTAATAGGTGTTATCACAGTGCTGCTGTGGAAAAGCAGGTGGCCTTGTCATTACTCGGATGTGTAAGTGTTATTCTGCCTTGGTCTCAGGAATTTCAGCCCTGTAAGTGAGAATACCCTTAAGTCATTCAAATTTTGGAAAACTAGAGTAGTAGACTCACTGTTTATAACTGATAGTCTATAGACCTAATGGTTACCATTTTTTAATAGCTGGAATGTTTTTATTAAAATGATGCATTTTAATAAACACAAACAACACAAAGGTACAAAGGAGAAAATAAAAATCACCTTAGTCTTTTCAGATGTAATTATTATGAACATTTTAGTGGCTTACTTTTCAGACATCTTTTTGTTCATAGACATCCACACCAACACATATGATGGAATTATACTCTATATCAGTTCTTTAACCTACCTTTTTCCATGCCATTTTGGCAGTAAGCACCCTGCAGTGAGCATCCCCCAGTGAACACCCTGCAATAAGCATTTGCAGTGAGCATCCATGGTGAGCACCTACAGTAGCACCTGGAGTGAGCACCCATGGTGAGCACCCTACAATAAGCACCTGCAGTGAGCAGCCCACAGTGAACACCCTGCAGTAAGCACCTACAGTGAACACCTATGGTGAACACCTGCAGTGGTACTTGCAGTGAGCACCCCACAGTTAATGCCCTGCAAAAGCACCTGTATTGAGCACCCTGCAGTAAGCACCTGTAATGAGCACTTCACAGTGAACACCCTGCAATAAGCACCTGCAGTGAGCACCCCACATGAATACCCTGCAGTAAGCACCTTCAGGGAGCACCCCACAGTGAACACCTTGCAATAAGCACCTGCAGGGAATACCCCACAGTGAACACCCTGCAATAACCACCTGCAATGAACACCCTACAGTGAACACCCTGCAATAAGCACCTGCAGTGAGCACCCCACATGAATACCCTGCAGTAAGCACCTTCAGGGAGCACCCCACAGTGAACACCTTGCAAAAAGCACCTGCAGGGAGTACCCCACAGTGAACACCCTGCAATAACCACCTACAGTGAGCACCCCAGTGAATACCCTACAATAAGCACCTGCAGTGAGCACCCCACAGTGAACACCCTGCAATAAGTACCTGCAGTGAGCACCCCACATGAATACCCTGCAGTAAGCACCGTCAGGGAGCACCCCACAGTGAACACTTTGCAATAAGCACCTGCAGAGAGCACCCCACAGTGAACACCCTGCAATAACCACCTTCAGTGAGCACCCCACAGTGAACACCTTGCGATAAGTACCTGCAGTGAGCACCCCACAGTGAACACCCTGCAGTAACCACCTGCAGTGAGCACCCCACAGTGAACACCCTGCAATAGGCACCTGCAGTGAGCACCTCACAGTGAATACCCTGCAGTAAGCACCTGTAGTGAGCACCCTGCAGTGAACACCCTGCAATAAGCACCTGCAGTAAGTACCCTGCAATAAGCACCTTCAGTGAGCACTCCACATGAACATCTTGCAATAAGCACCTGCAGTAAGCACCCTGCAATAAGCACTTGCACTGAACACCCCACAGTGAACACCCTGCAATAAGTACCTGCAATGAGCACCCCACATGAATACCCTGCAGTAAGCACTGTCAGGGAGCACCCCACAGTGAACACCTTGCGATAAGCACCTGCAGAGAGCACCCCACAGTGAACACCCTGCAATAACCACCTTCAGTGAGCACCCCACAGTGAACATCTTGCGATAAGTACCTGCAGTGAGCACCCCACAGTGAACACCCTGCAGTAACCACCTGCAGTGAGCACCCCACAGTGAACACCCTGCAATAAGCACCTGCAGTAAGTACCCCACAGTGAACACCCTGCAATAAGCACCTGCAGTGAGTACTCCACGTGAACACCCTGCAATAAGCACCTGCAGTAAGTACCCTGCAATAAGCACCTTCAGTGAGCACTCCACATGAACATCTTGCAATAAGCACCTGCAGTAAGCACCCTGCAATAAGCACTTGCACTGAACACCCCACAGTGAACACCCTGCAATAAGCACCTGCAGTAAGCACCCTGCAATAAGCGTCTCAGTGAGCACCCCACAATGAACACCTTACAGTAAGCACTTGCAGTGCAGTGAGCACCTGCAGGGCAGTTCTAGCTCTAAATGCCATAGTCTTGTACAGCATGTTGTATGGGAAAGGATGGATGAGATACTTGGATGCTGAGGACAGCACAGGTAGAATCTGGGACCAGCTACCAATCCCCGTCTGTTTGTTTTTCTAGAAACCCGAGATGATGAGCCTGTGTGTGGGAGACCCCTGGGTATCCGTGCAGGGCCCAATGGGACTCTCTTTGTGGCTGATGCATACAAGGGACTATTTGAAGTAAATCCCTGGAAACGTATGTGATAATGTATTGTTTCCTTCTATGATGATTTTAGATCTTTTAAACAGTATATGTATGTATAGACTTAATAGGATTTGTTAACAACAGTCTGCTAAAGACTCTGATATTTCTTATTCACTGAACAGTACTGAAAGCATTGCCTGCAAAAGTCAGCTAGTTTTAAACACCAGAAAACTCCCTACCCATGATTGCATTTGGTCCATACCCTAATTTCCTCCAAGCATTTATATTTTAGCCACAGGGTCTCAAAAGGACTTATTTTGAGGAAGTTAGACCTCTTTCTGTCTTTATTTTTCTGTGTGTCTCTCTGCATCTTGTCTATTTGTTTTCTCTCTTTTTCTTCTCTGTGGCCCTCCCCTTTGTCTCTGCTTTTCTGTTTTCTCCTGTAGTTCCTCCTCTTCTTTCCCCTGACTGCTCATGAGTCCCCTTGACCAGACTGTAGTATGTGCTGTGTGTCTCAGTGGAGGTTCCTGCTGGGGAGGAGTCCATTGTCTCGTGCAGTGCACGGGGGCCCGAATGTAGGCCCTGCAGCCCAGCTGCTTGGGGCCGTTCCACTCTGCTGGCCACCAGCTGTGACTGCAGGTCCCTTGACTGCTCTGTGCGCAGCTTCCTCATCAAATTGGGGTCATAGTAACCCTGCCCGTGGGATTGTTGTGAAGGTTTAAAGGCGGTCACACCTCAAGAGTGCTTAGCACTCAGTCCATGTTCTTTCTATTATTTTTCAGAACTTATACTACTGCTTTTTTTTTCTAAAAGCAGATGAGTAGACTATGTCATATTTTTCTCAAATAGAACTACAGCCTGCCTAACACTTGCAATATATGTTATCAAGTCAGTTGACCTTCTAGGTCAGTTGACCTAAAAGAAAGAATTCCTCATCTTTATAGAAAAGATTCTGCCTTTAATGAAGTTAGTCTAAAAAAAAAATCATTTAACACCTAATACTGTTTTTACTATAAGAAGGAATGAATCTTCTGACATATGACATGGAGAAGTTTCAGTTTTTCTTTTTAAATCACGCTGGTTAATATTTTGAAATTATTGAAAAGAAAGTTCCTAGTTCAAGTCAATCTTTTTCTTTCTTTTTAAACTTCAGGTGAAGTGAAACTGCTGCTGTCCTCCGAGACACCCATTGAGGGGAAGAAAATGTCCTTTGTGAATGATCTTACGGTCACTCAGGATGGGAGGAAGATTTATTTCACTGATTCTAGCAGCAAATGGCAAAGACGAGACTACCTGCTTCTGGTGATGGAGGGCACAGATGACGGGCGGTGAGGCCTTGTTCCAGGTCTCCCATTTGTTGAGTTCACCAGCCAGGCCAGCCGCTTCAGCAGGGCCTGTTACTTCTAGGGACCAAGGGAGTATTTTCAGCATCATATTTCAGCTTCTAGTACAGGACCTTAGTGGCTTCTGGAGGCAGGTGATGGATGTCACAGAATGGAACAAGGTGCTTTCGTTTTCTCTGAGGAAATAAAACAGGCCAGTCCGTCTGAGGGTGCAAGTCCAGGCAGTCAGGAGAAACCCTGGAGGCAGGCCGGGGCTTTGAGTTGCCTCTCTGCGGGGGACTCCTGTCCGGCTCCCAGGTCAGCAAGAGAACTTGGGATTCTCTGGAGGGGACACTGGATCTGCTCTGGATGGGGAAGGGCCCCCAGGGGCCAGCCTTGAATCAGGTTTGAGCAGGGGACCCAGGGCCTGTTGTTCCAGGTTGAGGTGGAGTCACCTTCTGCAGGCCCATGCCCTGAAGGCCCAGAGTGGGAGCCAGGGATTCTCCCGCATAACCCTCTGCTTTTGGTGTTCCACAGCCTGCTGGAGTACGATACTGTGACCAGGGAAGTAAAAGTTTTATTGGACCAGCTGCGGTTCCCGAATGGAGTCCAGCTGTCTCCTGCAGAAGACTTTGTCCTGGTGGCAGAAACGACCATGGCCAGGATACGAAGGTGTGTGTGGGATTAGCTGAGCCGTCAGTTGCTGGCCAGAGCACATCATGGCGGGGTAAAGTGGGCATGGAAATGGGATCGACAGAAATCAGAGGCAGCAGTGCACCTTCTGCATGGCATGTTAAAGAAAATTCAAGGGTGCACTTTTCTTTCTCCCATTGCGAGTCGTAGTCTGGGAGTGTCTTCAGGCCAGCTGGTGCAGCCCGGGCCCCATTCCCCTGCTGGCAGGGCCTTGGTCATCCCCCGACTTGCTTCCCCTCTATTCATGCTGGGCCCTGTGCACAAAGGTTTCTTCTCAGCAGCTGTGCCTTTGTTCATGATGGACATAGTTAGAGCACTTTCCATATATATATTTGGACCAAGACTTGGTGCTTGGCTAAAATTTTTATCTTAAATTGAGGGGCTATGGCTCACTGTCTGCTTGGGTGAATTTTTCAGAGTCTATGTTTCTGGCCTGATGAAGGGCGGGGCTGATCTGTTTGTGGAGAACATGCCTGGATTTCCAGACAACATCCGGCCCAGCAGCTTTGGGGGGTACTGGGTCGGCATGTCAACCATCCGCCCTAACCCTGGGTTTTCCATGCTGGATTTCTTATCTGAGAGACCCTGGATCAAAAGGATGATTTTTAAGGTAACTATAAAAACTGTTACTCCAAAAAAGAAAATGGAAGTGAATTGAATCATATTTTTTTGACCCTTATAGCTTAAAAATCTAATTCTGCTTGTAGTATTTGGCTCTGAATGACACTTAGAAACACATTTTATTCTTCATCCTGAAATGCAGATTTAAACATTTGGACCCTTTGGTTCTTCTGGTTTCCCTGTTTCTGGGTGTTTTGATTGCCACCCTCACCATCATGGCTCTGGGCATCCGCCTGCCTGTCAGTCTCGCTCCTCCATCTGCCATGGCTGTGCCAGGCCTTCTCTGCTCTCCGCCCTCCTCTCTGCCTCCTCAGGGAAAGAGTCGGAAGGTGCCCCTTCCTCCCCTCCCTGCAGGTGTGGCCACCCCTGTAACCCAGTCACCACAGCTGCCGTTGCGCCTGCTGTCTGCTGCCTTCTTGCAGCCTCACTGCCAGGCACCCTTCTCTATGGAGTTCTGCCCTTTGACCTCCTACCACACCCAAATCTTTCCCTTAAAAAAAAAAAAGTCACCCACCCCCACCAATGGCCAGCCATAGCCCCTTCAACACAACAGCCCCTTCAACACAACAGCCCCTTCAACACAACAGCCCCTTCAACCCAGCCTTTAAAGCTTGCCGTTTTCCCAGTGGCTTCCATGAAGCACCCCACATCATAACTCAGCACGTTTACACTGTGGAGGGGTCACTTGCTGACGTGGGCGCTTGTGTAATATAGAGATCTGCTTTTCCAGCAAGCTCCATGTCACAGGCTGAATAGGTATTTGAAGTTGATACTGAATATTTGAACTGATATGGAAATACTAGCTTACGGTCCTGGGGCTGACAGGCAGCAGTTGCTGAGTCCTCCTGCCGGGCTGTGTGCCTGGACCCCTCCTAGGGGCTGCGTGCACATTCTCAGACTGGCTCACGGTCTTCAGTGATGTGAGTTCTGTGGGTTACTGTGTGGGAAGTCCTAATCTGTTGAGAAATCTGTCCTTCTCTTTGCCTTATTGGCTCCAGAGATACCATCTGTTCCTGCTGGCACCTAGGGAGAGGCAGAATAGCAGGTGGGCTAGCACAGGGGTTTTGGAGGCTGCCAGACCAGCTGTGGGACCCTGGGCCAGAGACTTGGACTCTCTGCCTCAGGTACTCTGTAAAGTGGAAAGAATAATAGCACCTCATCAGGTGCTGGGAACATTTAGTGAGAATCTGCACATAGCGCTCTTAGCTTAGGGTAGTGTTAGTGGTGGTTGTTTGTGTCTCTTCCCCTGAATAGAATATGCATACCATCAGAGCAGGTGTTTTTCTGCGTAGTTCATTTGTCATCCTCCACACCTGCAACAGTGCCTGGCACATGTAGGCGTGAGGACGTACCGTTGATTGAGGGCATGGTTAGGGAGGGGGCTGCAAGCATGAGGGAACACAGAATCTTCCTGCAGCTGGGTGAGGAGGGGTGAGAGGGAGAACCACAGCCCCATGGACTTGGAAAGAAGGTTCAGTTTTATTCAAAATGTAATCCAAGTCATTGAAGATTTTTTTGTTTTTTGTTTTTGAGACAGAGTCTCGCTCTGTCACTCAGGCTGGTGTGTAGTGGCACAATCTCGGCTCACTGCAGTCTCTGCCTCCTGGGCTCAAGTGATTCTCCTGCCTCAGCCTCCTGAGTAGCTGGGACTACAGGCATGCACCACCACGCTCGGCTAATTTTTATATTTTTAGTATAGACGAGTTTTCACCATGTTGGCCAGGCTGGTCTCGAATGCCTGACCTCGAGTAATCCACCCACCTCGGCCTCCCAAAGTGCTGGGATTACAACCGGGAGCCACCATGCCCAGCCTGATTTTTTTTTTTTTTTTTTTTTTTTTTTAATTTTGAGACAGTATCAAAGCTGTGGAAACGGAGGGTACAAGGGATTTTTTTTCCCAGCACTGTTTTCGAGTTAGCTGCCGGCCTGATGTCCTGTCACTCATTGCAGATGCCTGAGCGTGTGTTTGGCACGTTCTCCTCATTACCACCGGTCGAAACCAGGAGATGCCCACAGCTCCCCTGTGACTGTCTGGTCTGCAGGCCCCATTCAGATTTCGCCAGTTGTCCTGCTGTTGTCCTTTATAACAAAGGATCCAACCCAGGATCAGAAGTGGTGTTTAGCTGTCAGCTCTGTTTCATCTCCTTCAGTCTGGGGATATTCAGCCTGTTTTTGTTTGAAGTTTTGGCCTTGATCCTTCGGAAGCGTACAGGTCAGCTGTGTCCCAGAATGTCCCTCCAGTAGGGTTTTTCATGTTGAGATTCTGGTCTCGTATCGCTGGCAGTAGTGGTACAGCCGTGAAGCTGTGCTCATCTTGACGAGGCTGTCATGAGGGCACAGTATCAGTTTGCTCTGTTGGGGTGGGGCAACTTCGGCCACCTGATTCAGGCGAGGAATGCCAGGTGTCTCCACCTTGACGTGGTTCTTTCGTGTTTAATTACTGAGTCGCTCACGGAGAGAAGGTTTCTGTAAGTAATCATCAGTGCCATCTTATGGTTTCCCATGTTCTTATTGGTGATTATGTTACAGTCATCATTGATATTGATGTTCAGATTACCCATCTGTGGCCAGGAGGAGCCCCTTCAGTGTGGCTTCTGGGCCTTTGGGCATGTCCTGTTGTCTTGGGCTAGCTCCTCACTTTCCAGCACGTAAGTTGTTCCAGGTTCCTCTCGTATTGTCCCTGCTCCAGCTCTGCAATTGGCCATTTCTCCCAGGAGCCCTGGTTGCCTGTGGAGGAGATCTGGGTGCTAAGTGTACTCGCTGCCTTGGGTGTCGCCGCTCCCAGGTCCCCAAGGGACTGCGCTGGCCGTACAAGCACATGATACGTACTCACACATGCCCGCATGCGTAGACATCACACACACACCGCTCATGCTTATGCCTGCATCTGTCATCTGTAAATTGAAAACCATGACAACACCACAGACTGATCCAAGTTTTCTCCCCTTATTTCTCCCCCTATTTGTACCTCTCTAACAGTGAGAAACCTGGATCCCATTGTCTTCCCTAGGTTTACCTGTTCAACCATTTTCTCTGTATGTGACCAATCTGTGGCTTCTGTGCCCTGTCACATGGCCCCATCCAGGGCTGTAGCACCCCATGCTAGGCTGTCCCCTTCCTCCCTGACCGTGTGCTAGAGGCTGCCTTTCCCCTCAAGGGCTGTGATGTCTGCACCAGGCTGTCCCTGGGTGTACACCTCTTCACTTGCATGGGCTGTCACAGCCTGATCTGGGCCTCACTGTGGGGATACCTCCTCACCCCATGTGGGCCCTGACAGCCTGTGCCAGGCCACCGCCCTGAAGGGACACCTCCTTACCCAAGCGGAGTGGGCTGGTCTGGGTCACCGTGGTCTGCCATCCCCTGCACACGTGTACCCTGCTCAGCCCCATGCTCCTGATGGAGTTGTTCAGGCGGGGAGTGATGTACTACAAAGAATGTTTTTAAAGAGAGCTGCAGCTACTGAAAAGAGAACAGCTTGCAGCAGGTCTCAGCTGGCTGTGGGAGCCTGTGTGGAAGCTGTCCCAGTGACTGGGGAGAGGTGGCAGGGCAAGGCCCAGGCCAGGGACACACACAACAGATGGCAAGACTGGTGGCTGGGCTTGTAGGGCACAGAGAGACCGGGATCAAGGGAGGGCTGGGGTCCTGGCCCTGTCTCCGGAGCTGGGGAGGCTGTCGAACTTGAAGTGCTATTAGAAAGTCCAGGCAGACATGGGTCCCAGACGGTGAGAGACAGCACTGGTGTTGGAAATGGAGATGGCAATTTGAGAGATTTCTGGGAAAGTGACTAGTTGTAATAGTAAGAGAAGATGAGATCTCTTAGGAAGAAGAGAGGAGAGGAGAGCGGGAAGGATCCATGGCCGAACAGCAGGAGGTGGCATTTCGTGGGTAGTGGGAAGCCTTGGGAGTTTTTTGAGCTGTAATGCAGTTGATCTATCGCTGTTGAACGTAGAGTCTAGTCAACTTGTCTGTCTGCTTGAACATTTCCAGTGACTGGGAGACATTATTCATTGGACACTGTTTGGATATTTCCACTTGTATTAAATGCTAGAAATCTGTCTGTTAATTTCCATTCCTTGATCTTAGGCAGAGGAGTGCTTTGTCATAATTTCCGACCAGGTGTCCTGCTCTGCCAGAAATCATGCCTCTCGCCATCTGTTCTCTGCTTAAAACTCTTCAGCAGTCCCATGTGACAACAGTCTAGGTCTAAGCTCTTTTGCCTCCGTCCCTGGAGGCATCCCTCAGGATCTACACACCCCGCTTTGATGAAAGCAGTGGGATTTTGCTGTCTCTTTTGGAAGCCATGTTGTGTGGTCTGTGGACCTGCTCGCCTTTTTTTGAACATGAGCTGCTCTCAAATCTCCATCGTTTGCACCTCGCCTATTTGAAATGTTTTAAACCTAAACAGAAGACTTGTGTATTCCAGGGAAGCTGTGCTGGTTGTTGTCTGGTGGGTGGAGGTCATTCTGAGCCTTGGCTCCAGTGCTGTGACCGCCTTGGATGTGATGTGTCTCTCTGAGTTCAGCCAGGCAGTCCAGAGATGTGCTCATGTTGCTGTCCTTGTGCTGGGGAGCCTCTTTGGCCTGATCTTCACAGGGACAGGGGTGGGTGGGGTCTGCTTTGGGGCCCCTGGGGCTGGGAGTGGGAGCTGGGTTAGCTGTCCTGTGGGGCACTGCCCTGTGGGGCTGCCCTGTCTTGGAAAGGAGTCAGACCCTTCCTGGATGGTGGGGGCGGCGCGGTTGATCTGTGCACAGCATTCTTGGACAGATAGTGAACTCTCCCTGCACTGTGCTTCCCTCTAGCTCTTTAGTCAGGAGACGGTGATGAAGTTTGTGCCGCGGTACAGCCTCGTCCTAGAACTCAGCGACAGCGGTGCCTTCCGGAGAAGCCTGCATGATCCCGACGGGCTGGTGGCCGCCTACGTCAGTGAGGTGCACGAGCACGACGGGCACCTGTACCTGGGCTCTTTCAGGTCCCCCTTCCTCTGCAGACTCAGCCTCCAGGCTGTTTAGCCCTCCCGGATAGCTGCCCCTGCCATGTAAGCCAGGAGTCTTCACACTAAGGCACCAGGCCTGGTCCAGGAGGAGCTGTGGACACAGTCATGGTTCAAGTGTCCACATGCACTTGTCAGTCCCTGAGGGATGGTGGGCATGGCTGCTTCATCCCTTGAGGATGCCCGGGCCCCATCTGGACTCATCTTTCTGTTTAGAGGGAAGCATAACATATCTGCCACTGGGAAGATAAATTCATGTGAAGCAATTTTCTCTTAAAAAAAAAACAAACAAAGCTTTCTAAGTACAATCATTCTCTAGGACTTGGGAAGCTCCTTGCACTTGGAACAGGGCTCAGGTGGGTGGAGCAGTAACACACTGCCCAGGAAGTTTGCTGCTGTGGCCCTGTCCTGTGGCCTCAGAGTCCTTCTTTACTATTATATAACGTGCGGTCATACCTTTATTGGGGTGGGAATGGAAGAGCAGAGGGAGGATGGCCCAAGGGTGTTGAGGCCAGCAGTGAGAGCTGTGTAAGCCAAGACTTGGAACTGTGTTCTCAAGGGTTGTGTGGGACGTGGGCTCTCCATAGTGTGTAGGAAAAGCATGTTGACTCTAGTGGCTCAGAGAGGACTTTGCTGGGTTTCTTTCTGTGAATATCTCCGCACTGACCATGCTGGAATTGGATGCTTCTGCAATTTGGGACCTACTGCAGGGGTCCGTTTAGTAACGTCCTGTCTGTGACCTTTGTTGTTGACCTCTAGACCCCAAGATGTGAACAGTGCACGTGTTAATGTCATCTTTGCTCGTGTGTTATAAGCCCCAAGTTGCTGTATATTTTCACAAGTATGTCTACACACTGGTCATGATTTTGATAATAAATAATGATAAATTGACTTCTGCTGATTAACCTTTTTTGATGGTGTGGCCTGGGAGTTTCTTCACTACTTTAATTAACAGTACTGAAGTTTAATTTCATCAGGTGTTGATGTAAGGATTGTCTTGGTGAGGATGATGTTTTAAGGCCAAGTAGTCCATCGGACTAGCTCAGGAGGGAAGCGGCGGGACCTCTCAGGCAGCCGTCTTCAGGCAGGGAGCAGGCAGCCTTAGGCCATCTGCTCTTGACGTTGACTCCTTGTGGTGTGAGTTGATATTACACTTCTCTCCTGTTTCCCAGCCTACGAAATGGGGCTGACATCTGCTCCTTTCTTTCCTGGGTATTTGTGAGAGTAATAGAGATTGTGCCTCCAAAAATGTTTGGAGTAACTTCACAGAGACAGTATTTTAAATGGATACTAATAAAAGTTAGAAAAAAATCAGATAAATATGTAATGATACAGAAATTCAGAGAACTGATAGCTGTGGTAACATCGGGACCATCTGTGTGCACTGTCTGGCCTTAGACTCCTGTGCCCTCCTCTCCCCTGAGTGGTGGCCAGGCCCTGTTGGGGAAGAGAGCCAGGAGTCTGGTGGTTAATTCCTCCCAGTACTGGTCAGGCCCCGTGTTGGGGGAAGAGAGTCGGGAGTCTGATGGTTAATTCCTCCCAGCGCTGGTCAGGCCTCATGTTGGGGGAAGAGAGTTGGGAGTCTGATGGTTAATCCTCCCAGCGCTGGTCAGGCCTCATGTTGGGGGAAGAGAGTTGGGAGTCTGATGGTTAATCCTCCCAGCGCTGGTCAGGCCTCATGTTGGGGGAAGAGAGTCGGGAGTCTGATGGTTAATTCTCCCAGCACTGGCCAGGCCTCATGTTGGGGGAAGAGATTTGGGAGTCTGATGGTTAATTCCTCCCAGCACTGGCCAGGCCTCATGTTGGGGGAAGAGAGCTGGGAGTCTGATGGTTAATTCCTCCCAGCGCTGGTCAGGCCTCATGTTGGGGGAAGAGAGTTGGGAGTCTGATGGTTAATTCTCCCAGCACTGGCCAGGCCTCATGTTGGGGAAGAGAGTTGGGATTCTGGTGGTTAATTGTGTGTCCCCCCTTCTCGAGGCTGGCTCCTGGGGGCAGCACCAGTAGGACAGAGGCAAAGATGAGATTCTATCTAGTTGGTGTGACCCACATTGTGTCAGATGAACAACTCAAAATTTTTTATGTGACTCTATAGGAAAGAAAATTAGTGGTCATTAGAAATACTTTTAGTAACAAATGATGTACCTTGTATGTCAAGTATACAAAGAAAGTAAGATAATACCTAATCATTCTGTCATACAAACAATGTAAATGTACTGGGCTTATAGGTAGACTTCCCTTTTCAAATTGAGAACAGAGAGCTTTGCTTTCAGTGCGTAATTTTCACAAATATAAAGAAGCTGGCAAACTGTTAGTCACAGTTTTTAGCAAAGGAGTCTTGATTTTGACTTAGCTGTTGATTTTCTGTCTCCAAGTGTCATTTCCTGTGTTTTATCTGGTAATTTGACATGGTGAGGTGTGAAATAGAGTCTTCTTATTAGGTTTTAATATGTGATATGCTTTTGCTGTAAACATAAAAGGGATTCATTCTAACGTGAATTACTAACATGCTCTTAATCGGGTGACTCATCGTGTGCCTCTGTTATCCCTTACAGAAACTCCATCAAGAGTCAGCTATTACATTTCATAGGACAGAGATCTCAGTTTGAGATTTTTATCATCAGCTTACACTTGCAGAGTGGTCTGTAGTTCTGAAAGTTGTTCACATATGTTGACTCTTAATGATTCCAGAAGACATGGCCTCATTGTACCAATGGGAACTGAGGCTCCGAAGGGTTAGGTTAGTGACTGCCAGAGTCACAGCTAGCACAGCCGAGCCAGCCTCCTGGGGATGTGACTGGAGAACGCGCTGGTGAAGCTGGGAGCAAGGGTGACAGCGGCTGGCTGTGCAGTGCCCCCGCAACCTATGGATCATGGCAGGGCACTGACTCAAACCTTGGCTGCACAGCAGAGTCCTCTGGGGTGCCCAGATCTCAAGGTGGCCCAGTCTGGCACTTCTTCCAGTCTTCTTCCAATCCTGGTGCCCTCCAGCCCTTGGTGGCCTCTCCCTCCTCCTGCACCCCCAACACAGTCATCTTCAGTGGGGCGCCCTCTCTGGAGGGCTCTGGGGAGTGGTCTGCTGCTCTGCCCCCACTCAGGCAGCAGGGCAAGTCCCTGCGAGGCCTGAACCTCAGGGAGGCACAGCCGTGGCCCTGCTGCTCCTGGTGTGGACAGCTCACCTCTTCTGGGGCTTTGGCCTTTGGAGGGTTATAGCTAGCAGCTCAGGCTGGTCAGGCCCCCAGAGGAAGTAATTTCAACTTGTCAGAACCCTTGGTAAAGGGGATCCCTGGTAAGGTTTGCCTCACCTCCCGACGCTCCCCTAAAAGGGCCAGCATGGCTGCTGCTCGCTGTTCATCTTGATTCCCAGCTGTGTTCATCACAACAGGCCAAGGTGCCCAGTGGCCAATGGGGTCCCTGCCCACAGCTCTGCCGCTGATTCAGACCCAGAGCTGTACCCTGCTCTCCTGGGGGCCTGTAGCCACGGGGGCTCATCCCTTACTTTCACAACTCCCTCCATTGACTCAGTCCCCTGCACCCAGACCCGGAATCTAGGTGTGCAGCCTCAGAAACAGGAGTTAATTTTAGAAGCAAATGTGATCTATTTAATCTGTTAGGAGGCTCTACCATGCTCCCATTCCAGCTGCCCTGCAGTGACCCAGCGGCACTTCATCTGCTCACTCGTCAGAGGCCTGAGAGGGTCTGTGAGGCCGGTCATGAGATGGGTGGGAGGGGGACAGGGAGCACGCATCCTGGTGTTTGTCACGGCTGTGGTCTTGCTGAAGAAGCGGGGGTCAGTGACAACGGAGAACAGGCACCTCGAACTGCTGGAGCCAGGGCACGACCCAGACTTCAGAGTAGCAGCTCAGAGTCTGAAACAGAAGGGCACACCTGAGAGCTCAGACTTGCCCTGCGGGGAGCCCTCTGCCCGTGGAGGGGTGCTCCTCACAGAGGAGCTCTTCTCCTGCCCCTAGTTTTCATTTTGAAAAATTTCAAACCTACAGAAAACTTGAATGATTTAAGAAGATATGCTTTTCACCTCTATAATTGCTGAATGTTGCCATGTTTCCTTTCTCTTGCTCTCTCTGCAGAGATATGCTATATATGATATCTATCATATATATCATATACATGTATATGATATATATATATAATTTCTGGATTGTTTGAAAGCTTTTCTTACTCTAACCCTTTCCACCCGCACCCCAGGACGCTCTTCCCGAGCTGTGTCTCCGCCTCTAGGACGGGAGGATGTCGTCTGAGGACCTCCTGGCACAGGCTCTACCTCCTGTTCTCCCGGATCCTTGGTCATGCGGGAGTCTGGAAGGCCTGGCTTCCTCAGGGGTGAGGTTTGGAGTGCTGTGTTAGAGAAATGGTGACAGGGTGTTTTTCACAGCCCTGGGAGGGAGTGGGCTGGGGAAGAGAGGGCTCATCTGAGAGAAGGGCCTGCTGCTTTACCCGCTTCAATGTTTGGTTGGTTTGGAAGTCACAGTCGTCCAGACGCGGGTGCTGGTTTTTCTTGCAGGTAGTTCTGCCAATTTCCACCTCAAGCATGTATTTCAGGCCTTTCACTATCTGTAGGGAGCAAAGGGACTGGGTTAGTGGGCACCGGGGAGGGAGGGCAGGCTCCTCCACTAGCAAGCGGGGCCTCAAGACAGTGGTGCAGGTGCCCACCCAGGAGAAGGGAAGTGGGCTGGCGTCTTGGGGCAATGCTTCCGGCTTACGGCAGAGCCTGCAGACCCCTCCCACTCCACTCCCTGCCTGTGCTGGGGTTTGTGCCCCTTCCTGAGACAGGTGTCTCCTTTCTGTCCAGAGCTCTGCACTCAGGAGGGACGTCACACTAGGTCTCTTGCGTGCCCTGCTGAGCCCTCCCTGCAGCCCTCACTCCAGCCCCACGATGGCTGTTTCTTGTGGCCTCTGTGTCAGGCCTGGGGTCTGTGGGCTTCCCCTCCCCATTCCTGGGGTTGGGAGTTTTGAGTTTCCGGACAGCCCTTCTCCACTTGGATATGGCAGCCGCCTGGTTCTTTCTCATTTGTGGTCTCGGAGGAGTTGAAGAAAAATTCCTCAGGTTTTAGTCTCGGCTCTAGGGAAATTACGTTGTCCCCAATATTGCCAAGCTGGAGAGGGACAACCTCCAAGCCCCCTCCCAGAGAACCCCGAGGACTCAGGCCCAGGGCATCCCGCTGGCTCCCGGAGAAGGAGGGAGGGCCTGCGTCACCCAGGCCAGGCTGTGGAGTGACGACCCTGGCTACACGCCATACTGCCTTCTGTAGCGCGCTTCTCATAGGAAAGCATGCTGCCCTTCACAAGTTTGCAATTGTCGGAAATAATTAGGTTATAAAAATCACCCCGACCTGTGACCCAGCATAACCATGAACACTGTGAAGACTGCCTTGGACAGGGCTGCTTCTGTCCCTTCCCTCCAGGCGCCAGCACGCGGTGGTGGGTGTCATCCACAGCCTGTGTCCCACATTAGCAAGTGGGTGTTCTCAGGACACAGACGAGCAAGGCCTGGCTGTGTCCCAGAGGGTCCCCTAGGAGGGAGGGTGCTGAGCAGGCACAGTAAAAATGAGTCGGGGAAAGGGCAGTGGCTTGGGCAGAGCTCTGGGACTCTGGGATGTGAGTGAGCACTCCAGGGGGAAAGTGGCAAGGACACTTCTGGGCTTCAGGGCACGTGAGGGGTGAGGCCAGATGGGGACCCTGGTCCCAGCAGGGACAGCTCCTCGGACAGTGGCTTTCTCCCCTGTCAGCCTTGGCGCCCGCCTCCAGGAGCCCCATTAGGGCCCTGGCGCCTTCTTACCCCATGCCTAGTGGGCTCTGGGCCAGGGGCCTGGTAACTGCCGGGGAGCCGTGTGCTTTGTGTAACCTTTGTGCCTTGCCCTGGGGATGCTGGCCTCGGCTGCTGCTGTCCACTCCAACCCCGTATGCATCTGCTTTCTGCCCAGAGTTCTGCACTTAGGAGCGACTTCACATTACATCCGCCCTGCTCGCCTAGGTGTCGCACTGTAGCAACTCAGCTGCTTAGGGCTGTTCGTGACATGTGACCAGAACCCAGACCGTTACCTGAACTAGGGCCCTTGTAATGCGGGACTCCTTGAACAAGAACATGTCGTTCGTGCAATTGTTGAACTTCTCAACACTGTGTCTGGCTGCTTGGAGGACTCCTGGGTCGTTGGTCTTTATTGTTTTAGGAAATCCTGGATTCACACCTGAGATAATGTCCTGGGAACAAGTATCTGAAAGAGACGAAGAACCAGATAAGAACACTGATGTTAGCGGGGTCTTCAGTCCAGGTGTCATACCTCATGCCTCTGTGGTTCTCAGTTCTCCGCTGGCGTGTGCCTCTCGGCCCCACCCACCCCTCACCTGCTCCCCCCTCACCAGCCCCACCCTCACCTGCCCCTGTTACCTGTCCCCGCTTACCCAGCCCACCCACCCTTCACCTGCCCCCCCACCTGCCCCGTCACTTGCCCCACTTCAACTGTCCCTCCTCACCTGCCCCCCTCACCTGTCCACCCACCTGTCCTCCCTCACATGTTCTTTCTTACCTGCTCCCTCACCTGCCCCCACACATGCCCCACCTGCCCCCTCACTTGTCGTCTCTTACCTGCCCCCCCCAACCTGCCCCCATCACCTGTCCTCCCTCACTTGCTCCCCACCTGCCCCCTCACCTGTCCCCCAACCTGTCCCCTCACCTGCTCCCTCACCTGCCCCCTCACCTCTCCCACCTCACCTGCCCCCTCACCTGTCCCCCGACCGACACGCCTGCAGTGCATTTGTTGCTGCATTTTCAGAGCTGAGGACCAGGTGCCAGGGGGTGCAATGAACCTGTGCCCCCCTTTCAGAACCCAGGGTTATTTCCAACATATGTGATAAAAGCAGAACATGTCCCACAGGTAAGAACCTAAGTACGGGATGTAGCCTTAGTACGGTAGGGAAAGTCAGCCCCAGCCTGGCCCTCTAGGCGGTGGATGGAGGTAGGGCCTCCCACTGGAAGGAGATGGCGCCGTCCTCTTCTCAAGGCCTTCTGCCTGCCTGGCTCTCAGCCTCAGGCCCAGCTCCTAGGAGGGCACCCCTCCTGGCAGCCTGCAGCACCTGATACCCCTGCACTGCCTCCTGACTTTCCAGGGACAGTCTTTTTCACTCCTGTGGGTGACAGTGCACTGTGTCCACAAGCTTCGTTGGGGTCAGGGAGGCCTGCCCTTCCTGTACCAAGGAGGCCTATATTTGGATACAAGATGGGGAAGCAGCACCGGGGGCTTCCCCCGCAGTCTGTCCCCTAGCATCTGTGCCTGAGGCTGCAGCCTGCTATGGTCTGGATGGAAAGCTGGGTGCCAGGGCACTGGGGGCAGGGTGATTGGGGAACGGGAGGGGACAGGCTTCATAGCTGGGCATGGCAGGGAGGCCTTGCCAGGACGTCAGTGTCAACTCAGTGCGAGGGCCCCAGAGGAGGCCATTCCCACTGCTGCCTGAGGTCTGCAAGAGGCCCTTCCTGGGTCCTGGATGTTTGTGGGTGCACACCAGACCCCACCAAGGGTAGACAGCCAGGATGCCGAGGTTTCTGGTCACCACGTGGCACCCCCAGGCTGGGCGGTGCAGTGCCAGGAGTGGGCAAAGAAGGTGTGGGACTAGAAGTTCTGTGGCCTTGGGAATGTTGCCCCATCCCGGTAAAGAGTGTCCATTGTGAAGGGAGGCCGCTTGGCAGGTGGCTGTCCCGTGGTTGGTTCCGGGCCAGAAGGTGAGCTTTATGGCTGGGCTTTGGATGACTGTGCCTGCCTCGTGCTTTAGCAGCCAAGGAAGCCTGGCCTTCCATCCCAAGAAAGCAGCGCAGTGCTGGCGCCCCACCCCATAGAGAATGCTGGCCATGTGCTGGTCCCGTGTGCTGCTGGATAGCTGTGTCCTGCACTGGCATGCCCTGGGACTGTCCTTGACAGTAATTAGTGTCACACACATCCCCCCTGAAACTGCTGCAGCCTTTGCTTAAGACTAGGCCTCTGAAGATGGAATAGAAACTGCTCTGTTCCTGAGCAGCAGGGGCTGGGCTTGGCCATCTAGGGGAGGCCCTGGAACCTGCATTTCCCCAGGCTCTCAGGTGACTCTGACACTGGTGCTGGCAGTGGGGGGTCCTTGGGACCTGCAGTGTTACCATCAGGAAGGAGGGGCCCCAGTGCCAAAGCCAGCTCCTTCTGGTCCCTGCACTTGTTGATGACAGGAAGTTGAATGTGGCTTTTAGTTAAAACAAAAAACTGTTCTGGAAACTAGCTTGGTTTCTGCTCATCACTGTCATCTGAACAGCAAAGAAAGAAAGAGACACGTGTGTGGAAGGGGTAGTGTGTGTTCAGTGTATTTTTGCTATCAGAGATTAGTGTTTTTATTATTATTATTATTTTTTTGCTTTCTTTCCTCACATTAAATTAATATGGCTGTCCATCTTTTTTCTTTGTAAATACTATATTTTATGACTTTTTCTGATTATAAACTTACCTATTTTTGGTAGGAAATTTGAAAAATACAGAGGAGCATAACAAAAAATAATTATTCTTGGTATCTTAAAGCTAACCATTATTAACTTTTTAAAAAATAAAATGTATTTAATTTTGCTTGAGATTAACAGAATTTTAAAAATGAAGTGAAACTCAGTTACACTGAACTTCAGATAAATTTCCCTTTCAAGCTCATGACGATAGTTCCTAAAAGGTTGTGTTAAAGTTATAAAAAGCTTATGAGAAATACTGAAATTGGTATATTTTTATTTAACTACATGTTTCCTAAAATGTAGGCTTCAAGTTAAACCTTTCACTGTCTTACAGTTGTCTAAACAGATATTAAAAGCTCAATTTTTAATTTAAAAATGTTTAAAAGTCAAACCTATTTTTAGGATGATTTGTTAAGAGAAATTAACAAGGAAAGGTTGATCGTTAAGAATTAACACCCCAGAGGGGCCAGTCATCTTCAGGGAAGAAAACAAGCGCCCAGCAGGTGGTGAGCGAATGCAGCTCTTTGAGAACCTCCGCTGGAGTCAAAGAACTGTGGAGAGGACCCCCCCACCGCCCCCAGGGAGGGGACTCGGGTTTGCTCTGTGCCGCTGAAGGTGGGCCGTGGGAGAATGGGTGCTCTCCTCCTCTCCTGCTCTGTCTGGAGGGCCCCGCGATGCTGTTTTTTCTGCTGCGTGCCCATTCTGCAGGCGAGGAGACCAAGAGCTTGGAGTGCAGGGTGGGGGCTAAACCCAGGTGTGACTAATTCGGAACACCACTCTCGCTTTTTCCTCATTCAAGGACTGTTTGGCAGGTGCTAAGGGAGATGCAGGGTGGACTCTGAGACAGGCCCCGCCCTCAGTGGAGGGGAGGCAGAGGCTGGGGCACAGGACAGGACGCCAACCTGAGGGTAAAATGGGTGAGCAGAGGGGCAGGGTACGGGGTAGCAGCTGGAAGGTGGCTGAACTGACCTAGGGGAGGAGGGAGCTACGTGCTGGGAAGAGTTGAGGAGACCACGCTGGAGGCTGCTGCTGGGTGCAGAGGGTGACGGTGGTGATGGCCAGGGTGACATGAACGGAAAGAACCCACGGACCATCAGGCTTGTGAGAAGAAACAAAAGGCACATAAAATTCGTCTGTATAGAAACAATGCCTGGGGCCTACCAGGCCTGCTGGAGGGGAGTGGGGGTACCTGCTTTGTGCGAGGCCTCCGCCAGAAGCCTGCCAGGGCAGCCTGACCTCAGCCCACCACTGCTTCTAATGCAGGGTGGGAGGGGAGGTGGGCCGTGCCTGAGACAGGTAGGGAGCTTCCAGACATAGAAGCTGGAGGTGGGGCGGGGGTGGGCAGGGCCTGATGATACCAGGTGCTGAGCAGGCCCCAGGACACATAGTCATGGGAAGGCGAATGAAACCGTCCCCGCACATTGACAAGAATTGCATGCCAGGTTCTGGACAGAAAGATACTCATAATTAAGCTTGAATCAGGCTGCTCTCTCGCCCAAGATGTTTTTCAGATCCCAATTCCAGCAACCAGTTTGGAAACCCCCCCACAGAGGAACGGAATCATCACGAAAACACAGCTGCTTCCTCTCCCTGTGCTGTGACATCACGCTGCCCCTTCCAACAGTCGATCTCCACACTTCGCCACTCCAGAACCCTTAAAAACCCGGGCCCCAGGCTCCTCGGGGAGATGGATATGAGTTTCTTCCGTCTCCTTGTCCTGGGACCCTGCGATCATCCTGCTTTCGTGCTGCAGCCCCGTGTTTCTGAGCGTTGACTGGCTGTGTGCATGGGGCACAGACCTATCGGGGCACCCAAGGACCAGTGTGCACTGGGGTACAGATGTGAAGCTGCCGTGCCAGGGGAGTTGCCAGGGCTTCTGCCCAAGGCAGCAGGGAGCTGCAGCTTCTGACAGCTGCTGGGCATGCCCTGGGCAGGGTACGTTCCTGTCCTCGGGGCATTGGCCTGGTGGTAGAGCTGGTACTAAGCCATTCTGAGAAGAGAGAGAACATGGACAGGGATCGCTGTGGTGACACCAGGCAGACCCTTCCCACCTGCCTTTAGTAGGAAAATGGGTGGGCGCAGCAGGGGCTGGCCTTGCGCACCGCCTCCCTCTTTCAGGAGTGTTCTAGGTGTGGCCGAGAGGTTGGGAAGCCCCTGCTTGTGAAACTATCCCTGAGATGGGGACCTGGGTGCCAAGAGCTGGATGCAGATGGTCCCTGCTGGTGTCCCTCCCTGTGTCACCTGAGGGGGTGCCCTTTCCGTGGGCCAGTACTGAGCTGGGTGGGGAGACCCTTTGGGAGGGGCCCCATTGGCCCCCATCACCCAGAGCATAAGGTCTGCCTGGCTGTGTCTGAGAACTGGGGTGTTGGGGGGTACAGGTCCAGCTTAGGGGTGCTGGTGTTCACCCCGTCACCCCAAGCCCTCTCACATGACACCATCAAAATTCAGAAAGCCCGGGTCCTTGGGGCCACACCTGCCCACTGTACTCTCGGGTCTCTGCGTGATGGCTAATGGTGGAGACTTTCTTTTGAGGGCACACACATGCCCCTGGCACAGACAGGACACAGACAGCTCTCCCAGGATCAGTCCCGACCTTAACCCACTGGGACACACCCGGAGTTTGAATTCCAGCTCTGCCTCTCACCGACTGTGTGATCTCAGGCAAGCTGCCTAACCTCTCTGAGCCTCCGTGTCCTCACCTGTAAAATGAGGATGTTGACGACAGTGAGAATATATGAGGCAACATACACAAAGCACTTGTCAATAAATGATGTGCAATACTGTAATCATTATCAAATACATCAAAATGCACATGGCCACAGCAGGGGTCTCAGGGCAAATGAATGCCCCCACTGGGAAAAACAAATCTTGCCGCATAGAGGGTGGCTCAGCCTGCGGCAGCTCTCAATGCTCCCCGGGAGGCAGGAGGTCCCCGGGCTGCAGGTGGTCTCTCTGCTACTGGGAAGTAAGGAGTGACATCACCTTGCAGAGGGAAGCCGAAATGGCTCCCTGACACCAGGGCCCCTGTCCAGGCAGATGGACCGTTGCAGCTAGAGTGGAGGGGGCAGAGGGTGACATGACACCTCGCAGAGCTTCCCAGAAGAGATGCCCGTCAGATTGAGAAAGAAACAGCCCTTTTCAAAAGGGTGGCGGAAGCTAGTGTGGCAATTTCCTAGGTTCTGAAAGCCTCAGGGAAGAAAGGTGCCCTGAGGGACTCGGCGCTGCGGTCTGTGCAGTTCAGTGCCTGGGCGTGGAGAGAGGCCAGATGCTCAGACGGCACCACCCTCGGGGTCCCTGTTGCTTCCTCCGCCCCCCAGCCCGCTCAGTCATGAGGAAGGCTCTGTAATTTAGTCTCAGAGGAGGCAGTGGAGGGGCTGTAGGAGTTGTGGGGTGGAGGCAGGATGCATGCTTGTGTCTGGGGCCCAGGTTCCCATCTCTCTTGCTGCTAGACTGGGGGCCTCCCAGCACCCTCCCTGTACAGCCGAAGACTGAAGGCCCTTGCTGGAAGCACCAGAAATGATCACAGCACGTGGGCAGGGTGTTGGGGGCTGTCACTAGCACAGCGGCAGAAGGTCCTGCACTGGAGAGAGCAGGGGGCCGAGGCCAGCAGAGAGCACCCCACGCCCCATGTGCCTCCATGCCTGTGCCTTCCCCGAGCCACCTCTTTTCAGCCTCCCCAAGATCGGAGGCGGGGTGCAGTTATCTTCCCATTTCACGGATGGTAGGACTGAGGCTGAGGGCCCGCTCCATGTGTGTGAACGTGGGCTCTGGAGCTTCCGTCTGGGGTTTGGTGGCCGACAGCAGATCTACTGGGAACGGAGGGAAAGCCTTGGTGCAGCATTACACACCAGTGAGGGACCAGGAGCACAGCCCAGGAAAGTGACTTTGCCAGCTGCCCAGCACGTCAGCTCCCACACCACTCTGCTACAAGTCCCTAGCCTGCTCCATGAGATGAGCAGAGCTCTGAAACCCCTCAGCAGTCAGTAGGTTTAATTAGATCCCATGACACGCTAGGACAGCCGGCTCCATGTCCCCTCCAGGAGAGCCTTTTCTGAGGTGTGAGAAGGAGCCACTTCTCTTGGGTGAACGTGCGTCTCTTCCCCGCTTCCCTCTTGGACCTTGGAGACACGAAGGGGCAGGGCACAAGACGGCGGTGGGCAGGCGGCGCTGCATCATGACAGGACCAGGAGGAGAGGCCCCTGTGAGGCTGGGAAGTGGGTGGAGGGCTCCACGCGTGAGCTGAGAAGACTCCCAAGCTGGGAGGCAGGGCAGGCGTGCTGTCCCCAGCCTTCTGCCGGCCATGGGTGAGCTCCATGTTCACTGAGCACCACCCAGAGCCCATGGTGGTGGCATGTTCCCATCAGTGACAGCAGAAGCTGCCTCCCTCCTCCAGCCTGCCCTGTCCTCTTGGGCACTCAGTCGCAACACCCACCCTAGGCCAGGCCTGGGAGCTCAACACTGTCCCCCAGCGTCACTGAGTCCTCAGTATTCTGATTCACCAGGAGGAGGTGAGAACCCTCCGTGGACCCCTTGGGTGCTCTGGGGCCGTCCTCTTGTCAGTGGTCCTGCTGCACACCCCCCAACCTGGGCCCCTTTGGCCAGACTCTAGCCCCCTTCTGTCCCCATCTGCTGAGTGGGGGTCGTGTGACTTGAGCGGGTCACCTCAACCCTCTGATGCCAGCTTCCTGGTTGGTTAAATGAGGCGAGGGCCTCTTAAGTTCCCATCAGTATCCTGGTCTGATTCCTGTGCCAGGGAGGGCATGGCCCAGTTCCCTTTGGGGGAGGGAAGGTTGTCCCTGGCTGTGTGACTTGGGCAAATCACCTAGCCTGACTGTGCCTCAGTTTCCCAGTGCACAGGCAGTGGCTGCTTCCTCCGTGTCCCCCGTCCCCCTGAGTGCTGACCCTCAGGGAGTGGATTTCAGGAAGGGTGAAAGAGTCTGATCGTTAGGGTCCCTGGGGCCAAGTCACAGGACAGCAGCCGGCAGGAAGGAAGGACAAGCCATCAGATAGAAGAGGCTAACCGCAGGCATGTGGCTGCCCTGTCGCCTCCGTCCCGCAGAGGGGCTGCGGGAGATCTGCCTTGCTCAGACCTTTCTCAGACCTCTGTGAAGACCAGAGAATGGAAGACGTTTCCCTTGCCCCTAGCCTTCTGGGCAGCCCCCACACCCTTCATTCCTGTAGCCTGCTACCCCCAAAGGTGGCTGCAGCCGGATGGAGCCCCTTGCCCCTCTCACCACTCCCAGCACCTCTTACCACCGCATGGTCCTGTGGGGATTCCAAGCCAGGAAAGTGCCCTGGGGAAGACCCAAGGCACCAGCGGCCAATCTCAGGGAGAGACCCCAAGGGAGCGGCCAGGGGAGAACGCTACTTACCTGGGGAAGGGCCCCCGGTGGTGCTCACGACCAGGCAGCAGAAGGCCAGCAGAGTTCCAGCCGCTTGCATGGCTGCCCGGGTGGGGACAGTGCGGGGCAGTCGGGGGTGGCCGTGCAGAGCCTTCTCAGGCAGCATGGGGCAGTTGGGGGCAGTGGTTGGTGCCCGTGCCAATCCTCAGGCAGCACGGGGCAATGCTGGGCAGTGGTTGGTGCCTGTGCTGAGCCTTCTCAGGTAGCACGGGGCAGTGGGCTGTCTCAAACCAGGGGCGGGTGCTGGGGCCACAGCGTGGAACCCCACCCTGCAAACCACTCTGGGACGGGGCAGGGGCGGGGCTAGGGGGCTGCCTGCGTGGTGCTAGGGAGGGGAGTGGTTTGCTGCTGAATCATTTTGGCCAGAAGCTCTTCACCTTTAGATCTATCAGCCACAAAGGCAACCGCTTCCTTTATAAAAGTTTCCAAGCAGTCGTCATTTGCTGGGGGAGGAGGAAGAGAAACGAGACCCGTGAGCAAATCCTGGTGCAATGTTCTACCCCTGAGCCACACACCAAAGAGATGTTGCATGAAAAACATTAGCAAGAATTTTCAAAAGCAGAATCACTTGATTTTCTTCTTTTTTAAAAAAATACTTAAGTTCTGGGGTACATGTGCAGAACGTGCCATGGTGGTTTGCTGTACCCATCAACCCATCATCTACATTAGGTATTTCTCCAAATGCTATCCCTCCCCTGGCGCCCCACTCCCAGACAGGCCTTGGTGTGTGATGTTCCCTTCCCTGTGTCCATGTGTTCTCATTGTTCAGCTCCCACCTATGAGTGAGAACATGCCGTGTTTGGTTTTCTATTTTTGTGTTAGTTTGCTGAGAATGATGGTTTCCAGCTTCATCCACGTCCCTGCAAAGGACATGAACTCATCCTTTTTTATTGCTGCATAATATTCCATGGTGTATATGTGCCACATTTTCTTTATCCAGTCTACCATTGATGGGCATTTGGGTTGGTTCCAAGTCTTTGCTATTGTGAAGAGTGCTGCAATAAACATACATGTGCATGTGTCTTTAGAGTAGAATGATTTATAATCTTTTGAGTGTATACCCAGTAATGAAATTGCTGGGTCAAATGGTATTTCAGGTTCTAGATCCTTGAGGAATCGCCACACTGTCTTCCATGATGGTTGAACTAATTTACACTCCCACCAACAGTGTAAAAGCGTTCCTATTTCTCCACATCCTCTCCAGCATATGTTGTTTCCTGACTTTTTAATGATCGCCATTCTAACTGGCATGAGATGGTATCTCATTGTGGTTTTGATTTGCATTTCTCTAATGACCAGTGATGATGAGCGTTTTTTCATATGTTTGTTGGCCGCTTAAATATCTTCTTTTGAGTGTCTGTTCATATCCTTCACCCACTTTTTGATGGGGTTGTTTTTTTTCCTGTCAATTTGTTTAAGTTCCTTGTAGATTTTCAACATTAGCCCTTTGTCAGATGGATATATTGCAAAAACTTTCTCCCATTCTGTAGGTTGCCTGTTCACTCTGGTGAGAGTTTCTTTTGCTATGTGGAAACTCTTTAGTTAAATTAGGTCCCATTGATCAATTTTGCCTTTTGTTGCTATTCCTTTTGGTGTTTTAGTCATGAAGTCTTTGCCCATGCCTATATCCTGAGTGGTACTGCCCAGGTTTTCTTCTAGGATTTTAATGTTTTTACGTCTTATGTTTAAGTCCTTAATCCATGTTGAGTTAATTTTTGTATAAGGTGTAAGGAAGGGGTCCAGTTTCAGTTTTCTGCAAATGGCTAGCCAGTTTTCCCAACACCATTTATTAAATAGGGAATCCTTTCCCCATTGGTTGTTTTAGTCAGGCTTGTCAAAGATCAGGTGGTTGTTGATGTGTGGTGTTATTTCTGAGGCCTCTGTTCTGTTCCATTGGTCTATATATCTGTTTTGGTGCCAGTACCATGCTGTTTTGGTTACCATAGCCTTGCCGTATAGTTTGAAGTCAGGTAGCATGATGCCTCCAGCTTTGTTCTTTTTGCTTAGGATTGCCTTGGCTATGCAGGCTCTTTTTTGGTTTCATATGAACTTTAAAGTAGTTTTTTCCAATTCTGTGAAGAAAGACAATGGGGATAGCACTGAATTTGTAAATTACTTTGGGCAGTATGGCCATTTTCACAATATTGATTCTTTCTATCCATGAGCATGGAATGTTTTTCCATTTATCTGTGTCCTTTCTTATTTCCTTGAACAATTGTTTGTAGTTCTCCTTGAAGAGGTCCTTCACATCCCCTGTAAGTTGTATTCCTAGGTATTTTATTCACTTTGCAGCAATTGTGAATGGGAGTTCACTCATAATTTCACTCTCTGTTTGTCTATTATTGGTGTATAGGAATGTTTGTGATTTTTGCGCAATGATTTTGTATCCTGAGACTTTGCTGAAGTTGCTTAGCAGCTTATGGAGAGTTTGGGCTGACACAATGGGGTTTTCTATATATACAATCATGTCATCTGCAAACAGAGACAATTTGACTTTCTGTTTTCCTTTTTGAATACTCTTTATTTCTTTCTCTTGCCTGCTTGCCCTGGCCAGAACTTCCAATACTATGTTGAATAGGAGTGGTGAGAGAGGGCATCCTTGTGCTGGTTTTCAAAGGGAATGCTTCAAATTTTTGCCCATTCAGTATGATATTGGCTGTGGGTTTGTCATAAATAGCTCTTATTATTTTGAGATACATTCCATCAAAACCTAGTTTATTGAGAGTTTTTAGCATGAAGGAGTGTTGAATTTTGTTGAAGGCCTTTTATGCATTTATTGAGATAATCATGTGGTTTTTGTTATTGGTTCTGTTTATGTGATGGATTATGTTTATTGATTTGCATATGTTGAACCGGCCTTGCATTCCAGGTATGAAGCCGACTTGATCATGCTGGATAAGCTTTTTGATGTGCTGCTGGATTCAGTTTGCCATATTTTATTGAGGATTTTCACATCAATGGGACATCAGGGATATTGGCCTGAAATTTTCTTTTTTGTTGTGTCTCTACCAGGTTTTGGTATCAGAATGATGCTGGCCTCATAAAATGAGTTAGGGAGGATTCTCTCTTTTTCTCTTGTTTGGAATAGTTTCAGAAGGAATGGTACCAGTTCCTCTTTGTACCTCTGGTAGAATTCGGCTGTGAATCCATCTGGTCCTGGACTTTTTTTTGGTTGGTAGGCTATTAATTACTGCCTCAATTTCAGAACTTGTTCTTGGTCTATTCAGGGATTCGACTCCTTTCTGGTTTTGACTTGGGAGGGTGTATGTGTCCAGGAATTTATCCATTTCTTCTAGGTTTTCTAGTTTATTTGTGTAGAGGCATTTACAGTATTCTCTGATGGTAGTTTGTATTTATGTGGGATCAGTGGTGATATCCCCTTTATCATTTTTTATTGCATCTATTTGATTCTTCTCTCTTTTCTTCTTTATTAGTCTGGCTAGTGGTCTATCTATTTTGTTGATTGTTTCAAAAAACCAGCCCCTGGATTCATTGATTTTTTGAAGGGTTTTTTCATGTCTCTATCACTTTCAATTATGCTCTGATCTTAGTTATTTCTTGTCTTCTGCTAGCTTTTGAATTTGTTTGCTTGTGCTTCTCTAGTTCTTTTAATTGTGATGGGAGGGTGTTGATTTTAGATCTTTCCTGCTTTCTCTTGTGGGCATTTAGTGCTATAAATTTCCCTCTACACAGTGCTTTAAATGTGTCCCAGAGATTCTGGTACATGGTTTCTGTGGGCCTGGAGTCTGGCCTGGCCGAGCTGGGTGCTCTGAGTCTCACCAAGCTGGCCAGGGGTGGAGTGGGGCATTGTGGCTGGGGCTGCAATATGGGGCTGGCTGGGGCTGCAGTCTCATCAGAGGCTCAACTAGGGAAGGGGCTGCTTCCCAGGTAAAAGGCTTGTTGTCAGCTGTCGGTTCCTTGAGATTGTCAGTTTCAGCTTCCTACTGGCTGTTGGCTAGAGGCCACCTTAAGCTCCTAGCCATGTGGGCCTTCTTGACAGGGCCTCTGACTTCCTGAAAGCTGGCATGGGAGAGATTGCTTCTTGGAAAATTGGGCTACAGTCTCACATACCATTAACATGGAGATGACCTCCCATCACCTTTGCCATATTCGAATGCCTGGAAGTGAGTCACAGGTCCCACCCACACTAAAGGGGAGGGAACAGCACAGGGCTGGGACAGTGGAGCCACTACAGAGCCTGTTGCCACACTTACTAAAGTTTACTACAAACCCTCGCTATCTCTGCACTGAGGAGGCCACAAAAAGTGACCAACCAGGTGGCAGTGAGCACCCTAAAAGTGGTTTCTCACTAAGGACTAAGGCTGTTGGAGAAATGACTGATTCCATGCCAGGGCAGGAAATGTACAAGATGAGCCAGAAACATCTCACCTTCTAGGGAGCAGGGAAACCCTCAAAGGCTGTTGGGGCCGTGTCAAAGGCATCAGAGCCAAGCTGAAGAGGCTCCCACTGGCCCAGGGAAGGGACAAGTTAGCATTAATAAGAATAATAACTACAGGGGATTGAAGCACACAGATATTTAAAAAGCTCCTAGATCCATATGATACTGATAATGATGACAATGAGAATCATTATAATCCCTCTGCAACCTCCAAAGGCTGTGGGGCCAGTGGGGACCCTTCTCCCAGGAACTGATCCCTATGCCACATGCCCAGCCATGGTGGCATCCTTCTGGCCTTCAGAAAGCTCAGGAAGGAGAAGTGGTGCCCAGCCCCTCTCCGCACCGGGAACCCTGCCACCCTCCTTGACCCATGGAATGCCATGTTCCCAGGAGGCCTCAGGGGTCTCCTGGGTGCCGACTGTGGGATGCAGGGGACTCGCTGGACTTCCCCAAACTCTAGCCTCCTTGTCTGTTACAAAACATACCCAAACAAAAGAAAGGATAAAGGAGAGGTTTGACTCTTCATCTCTTAGGCTTCATGTGAGGTGGAGATGAGTGACGGGGCATGGCTCAGAGTGAGCTCCCTGACAGTGACGTGGTTTTCTGTTATCCTTACAGCAGGAGTGGGGCTTCCAAACTGTCAGATGTCAGGTGTGTGTACCCACATATTCCCTTGCACAAAGACACACGAGGAATGTGGAGGTAAAGAAAACCAAGCAGTCTCTTGATGTAGGACTTCTCAGAGCCTTTAGAAGGCAGGTATGGTGTGCAGATGCTTATATTCATTTACAAAGGCAGATGGAACCGCCTCTGCTCAGAGCATCTCTGATGCCATCTGGGGCTTGGGTTTGAGGGCCTTTGCATGGGACAAGTGGGGAGCCGCAGAAACA